AATTGTAAGCACAGAACTAAAAAACAAACAATACTAGTGTAACTAAGTTTTAAGTTTTAAGCTGAGGGGATGATGGCCAATTTGCAGTGAAGTGATAATGTATTCTAGGTAACTATGAGGTGATTGTTTTTGTATTTTATTCACAGATATGCTTAAATTTTGCTGTTTTAAGTTTGTTTTCCATAAAAGTTAAACACTCACTTAAGTACTGAATTATGAACAGGAGAGGAGCAAGTCGTCCATACAAAGAATGACCAATAAGGAAATTTTATCAGAACCGGCTTACATGCTTATGTACAGAATATTGACATGTTGGGAGGCTATTCTTCCATCCCCTATGGCAGAATTTTCCACATATATCGGTTATTGATTGTTTAAAATAGGAATGGAGAATGAAAAAAAAAGTTCTTCAGCATCAGGATTTAAAGGAAGGGAGAAAAAGCAGTCATTTTTGGGTTTCAAGACAGGGTTTCTCTGTAGATTTGGAGCCTGTCCTGGAACTCACTCTGTAGACCAGAGTTAGCCTATACCTCACGGAGATCTGCCTGCTTCTGCTTCCCAAGTCCTGGGATTAAAGGCGTGCACCACCACTGCTCAGCTATAAAAAAGGAGGCTTTTAAGCCAAGTATAATAATTTAATGTCCTTGAGGAATTACAGTAGCAGCAGGGAGCCCGGGCTGGAGAGCCCCCACTGTTTTCATAGTCACACTTATACCCTAAGATTGTGCAACAGTCTATTTATTCGTTGTCTTGTGTGAGTCGTAAAAATGGGACTCGTCGGGCTGGAGAGATGGCTCAGTGGTTAAGAGCATTGCTTGCTCTTCCAAAGGTCATGAGTTCAATTCCCAGCAACCACATGGTGGCTCACAACCATCTGTAAAGAGGTCTGGTGCCCTCTTCTGGCCTGCAGACATACACACAGATAGAATACTGTATACATAATAAATAAATATTTTTAAAAAAATGGGACTCGTCAAACTGGGCAGTGTGTGCACGCCTTTAATCCCAGCACTTGGGAGGCAGAGGAAGGCAAATATCTGAGTTGGAGGCCAGCCTGGTCTTGAGTGAGTTCCAGGACAGCCAGGGCTACACAGAGAAACCTTGTCTTGAGAAAAAAATATTGGAGGAGTTCATACTGGAAAGTCCCTTTATCCCTTAGTTACATTGTTTTTTGTACTAGAAGTTGGGCCTGGTTTAGTTTCTCCCAAGATGAGGTCAATGCTCCCAGGAGGGGTGGGAATGAGGAGATAAAACTAAGTGCTGGGGTAGGCTAGCCCTAGGGCGCAGGCAATGGAGGAACATCTCCCAGTCAGTTGTGACAGACAGGGCAAGCAGCCCTCCTTTGGCAGGGTGCCCTGGGGAACCTACTAGATCCTACTTGGGGGAGGGGTTGGGAGGACGACTTTGAGCTTTCCTTCCTTTGAGGGAGCCTGCAGGCAAGCAAGCAAGGCAGCAAGGAAGCAAGAGCAGCGAACAAGCAAACAAGCAAGGCAGTGAGGGCAAGGAGGGCAGCAAGAGAGCTAGGAGGAAACCGCCCCAAGACCGGAGTTAAGTTTCCACACTTCTGTTTTCAGGCTTGCGACCCAGCAAGAGTCTCAGGGTGGTGGGAAGGACCTCAGTTTTCTTCTGAAAGGCCAGCATCTGAAGGGGAGGAGCATCGAAGGGGGGGGGGCGAGAGAGGTGAATAAGTGGAGTGGGCGTGGCATGTGGTAAGTAGAGAGGGTCTGGGCGTGGTTGTGTATAAACTATACTAAGTCTAACTGTAACCGGCCTTGATACCTTGAAACCAGCTCCTGGAAACGATCTCATCCGGTCTCACTGGTTTCAGATTCTTTTGTCCACGGTCCCTGAAGGAACAGCTGCTGGTGAGGTGAAGAGGCCACGGGGTATGGGAGCCCAGGACAACAGTGTCCTCACCTCTCGGTTCACATTGCGCCCTTCGTGCAAGAAAGAAGGGCAGCGAACTGGGATCAAGGCTGCGCAGGGAGGGGAGTAGCCACTGGGAAGAGGAAGGGAGCAGAGGGGGCGCGAGGAGGGGAGCGAGGAGCACGAAAAAGGGAGCGGGGAGGCGCGGGCCCAGGGAGGGGAGCGGCCATCGCAAAGAGGAGAGCGGGACAGCGAGAGGAGGGGAGCGGCCATCGCAAAGAGGAGACAGGGGCAGCGCAGGCAGGCTCGGGGAGAGAAGGAGGCACAGTGAAGAAGGGAGCGGGTCAGCTCCGCCCTGGGAGGAGAACGAGAGCAGTGCCGAGAGAGGAGCAGTCAGTGCGAAGAGGGGTGTGGGGCAGCGAGGGCACCTGGAGGGAGGCAGTGTAGGGGGAGGAGCAAGGAGTGGACTTTGAGAAGAGGGGAGGGAGGCGGCGTGGGGTGGGGGAGGAGCCAACGTCCGGAAGAGGGGAGGGAGGCTGCTTAGGAACTGGGAGAGGAGCAAGGCAGCACCCTTAAAGGAAAGGGTGGAGGATGAGGGGGCAGCGCCAGCAAGGGGAGAGGAGGACGGGGAGGGCCTGGGTTTAGGGCCTCTTGATCTCTGCTTTGCTGTCCAGTGAATCACTTGGATCCCATGGGCATCGAGGACACTCCTTGAAACCTGAGGTGACAGCTTATTTGAGAACTAACCTTGGTCCCTTACTCTAGATGAGTTACCTGGGGAACAGGAGGTGTTCTGTCAGACAAGAGTTCTGTCCCTCCCTGCTAGGCAGCTTTCAACACACAGTGGCCTGTTATGTCCCTACAGTGATGCCTCACTTCTGGATATCTTCTCTGACTGTGAAAGAGCGCATCACATGATGTCTGTCTGAAGCTTGGGGGGTTTTCTGATAGCCCAGGACCAGGCTGCTCTCTCCCAGGGCTCAGGACCATGCCAGGAGACAATGAAATGGAGCCTATTTTCCCTGCTGCAGGTGAGTCAGCCTGGGTTCTGCCCAAGCAAGGTGATTCTCCAATTAGACACTGCCATGAACTCCACACAGGGCCATTTCCTAGAACTGACACCTCCGGCTGACAAATTGTCCTGGGTCATAGGGCCCTAGAGGCAGGTCCAGCTATGCTCTTCCTGGATGTTTTTTTCCTCTGGCTGCTTTCACGCTATAGAGCGAGAGCTTAGCAGGTGTAATAGAAAACAACTGTCCTGTGAAGAAGCCTTCAGCATTGTCATAGTAGTGGGATTGGTTACTTTTCTATTGCTGTGATAAATACCAAGGCCACAGTAACATACAGAAGAAAGGGGTTTGAGGGAATTTATAGCATCCACAGACAGCATGGACTCTGCACTCTTCCCCTGAAAATGTTTGCTGTTCCATCCACTCTTGATCCGTACTCTTCCACTACCAGAATGAACCAGCCTAGATTTTCTGTGTCCTGTGCTGTGGGCTCTTCTCTGACCAGTTCCAAGAAGCCATCCCTGGAGCACTGCAGTACATCCAGAGGATGAATCTTGTCTGTTGTTCTAGTCTCAGTCTTTTGCTGTGACAAACACTCTACCAAAAGCAACTTGTGAGAAACATGGTCTTGTTCAGTGTTCTATTGCTGTGAAGAGCCACCATGACCATGGCAACTCTTAAAAAGAAAGCCTTGATTTGGGGATTTCACAGGTTTAGTCCATTATCCTCGTGATGATGAGCCTGGTGGTACCCAGGCAGATATGGTAGCTGAGAGTTCTACATCATGATCCAAAGGCAGCAAGAAGATACAGACTGTGGGCTTGAAATGGGCTTTTTAAACCTCAAAGCCTACCCCCGATGACACACTTCTTTCAATAAGGTAACACCTCTTCAAAGTGGGATCCCAAACCTAATCTCTCTTAGAAATTGCCAATCCATGATGACCAAGCATTCAAATATATGGGAGACATTCTTATTCAAACCTCCACAACTCTGACCTTGTGTAATTTTCATCCCTGGGCATCTGCCAAGGCCTGCAGCACATGCAACTGAGAGGCTGCTGACCCCAGAATGGGTCTGTCTGAGAAGGGCTTGGGTGGTCTGTACTCAAAACCCCCTTCATTTGTCAGGGGTCATGGGACATTGAGGTACAAGTTAAGCGGTGACTTGTAGACTTCTCTGTTGGTGTACGGGGCTAATTGCTTTCAGACTCATAGTCTGGAGCTTTGATTCTCACTGCAAAACCTTCCCAGACAGAAACCTTCAGCTGCCCATGAACTGTCCCATCAACTGCCACAAGCCACAGAGAAAAAGAGAGAACAATGGAGCCAAATGAAGAGTTCCTCAACCAGGTCACCAAAATGTTGTCCAAGGAGGACGAGCCAAAGACATAGTAGTAAAAACATTTACTAAAGCAGACACACCAATTATCAAGAATCTCTTAAAGACAAGCAAAAAAGGGTATAAGAGAACCCTGTGTTCCAGCCATGACATGGGGGCTGCACTGCTGAACTCTGCACAAAAGCAGGCCTGTCAGCCTTCCCTTCAGGGAGTGAGAGAGGCTCGCAAGTCTCCAGACTATTCCCTGAGAATATTTCTGCAATTAATGGTGCTGTGGAGTGGAAGAGACAGATTTCCTGTGTTCTGCACCTCCACTCTAGACTGCAGGCCTGCTCAGTGACTGGCTTTGTAAAGTTCGTCCTTCCCTCCATTTCTACAGAGCGACTTTTACACAGCCAGCATCCACACACTCAGGATAACAACAGCTGTGCAGACAAAGCCTGCCACACTATTCCACTGTCTGCTGCTATCAAACCAAGACATGATCGCACAAACCGAATAGGCCTTATGAAAACTGAAGTTGTACCAGAGACGTTCACACACACACACACACACACACACACACACACACACTCTCTCTCTCTCTCTCTCTCTCTCTCTCTCTCTNACACACACACACACTCTCTCTCTCTCTCTCTCTCTCTCTCTCTCTCTCTCTCTCTCTCTCTCCCCAGAAAGGGAACCTCTGACAGAACAGAGTACCAACACCACGAAGATCCATCTTGGGGGACCACAGGGTTTTCTTTGGGGTTGCTAACAGGGGTGTGGTGAGGAGTTACTTACAGGAGCTGGGATGGATTCACAGCAGCTGCATCCCTGCAGAGCCCACATCAGCTCAGGCTGTGACTCAGAGGACAGCATAGCAGAAACTGCACAGTTTGCAGGTCTTGGACAGGTCTGGGGTCTTCTCTGAAGCTGGTCAGGGTCCCCTTCTACAGCCTGGGTAAGTCCCTCTAAACTTCGGAGTTCCTCTTTCTCAATTACAGGAAGTGCTTATTTCCTGGTCTAAGAAGCCTAGCCCTTATGCTTTAGCTATAAAAGGAAAAACTGAAAGTAACCAGTGACCTTTCCACCAAGGCAGAGGACGTTCCCCCACAGACAGATTAAAACAAGCCCAAAGTGTCGACTCTGCAGAGGACCCATGTTATTTGATTTCCAGTCCCTCCTTTGTTTATAATAAGTGAGATTGTCCTTTGGGTACAAAGTGACAACAGCAAACAGCTTATTTATGCTTTAAGCTGTCTTCTGCTTTCTTAGGAAGGCCTTCATCCCCCAAACCACTCCACAGTTTAGCACCACTGTCTCCAACCAATGAAAAAAGCAGAAAGTAGACCAGGGATGTGAACTACAATTAATAAAAGCTCGGAGAGAGTTTAATTTGAAGATCTGAAAAACAAGCAGCTAGCCTCTGGCTCTTACCTCGACCTCAGTCCAAAATGGCAATCCTGCGTCCAGGAATCTCAGAAAGAGACTGTGTCTGAGAACTGTCTCTTCCAGTCTTATAATCCGTTCTAGGGCTGGGATTAAAGGTGTGCACCACTGGGATTAAAGGCATGCACAGACCGATTTCTACAGCAACTAGTGTGGCCACTGGGATTAGAGGTGTGTGTTACCACTGCTTGGCTGTAAGGCTGACCAGTGGGGCAGTTTTACTTTCGCAACCCCTAGGCAAGCTTTATTTATTAAAATACAACTGAAAAGCCACTACGGGGATGTGTCCATAAATATTGATTTCAATCATCTGGTATCATTCGGAAGTCATGTGGTTCTCCAGAGTAACCTGGGAGCTTCAGACATTCAAATCTGAGAACAAAACCAAGTACTGTTACCTGATGTATGAGCACACTACACAGGGCATTCTGCTCTAGACCAGTGCTTCTCAACTGTGGGACCCTCACCCCGTATTCTCAAAGGAGTAAGAAGAAATTTTTTAGCAGAATGTTTCCCACGAAGATAGTGGCCTTCCCCTCTCCCACCCGGGAGATTTGAGCACAAGGTCACTTAGCCAGCCAGCCACCTGATGATAAAGAAGCAGGATATAAGAGCACAAAAGATCTTGCACTTGTGCCAAAAGCAGCTTCAAAAACCTTCTTTGTAGTTACACCTTTAAAAGCTTACCCCGCAGAGGAGATATATCTCTTCTCTCTAACTTGCTGCAGAGGGGTTTTGGAGACAGGGGTTCCAAACATGTTTGCATTATGCTAATTACACCTTGCTTATTACATTCTGGGCCTCTCTGGTAGTCTCTCTCTGGGGGTCATAATCTGGGTACAACATCAACCTTCCTAATGCTTTAACCCTTTAATACAATTCCTCATGTTGTGGTTACCCCCAACTATAAAATTTGATTCATTGCTAATTTATGATTGTAATTTTGCTACACTTATGAATTATAATGTAAATATCTGATATGCAGAATAACTGATGTGTGATCCCCAAAGGGGTCTTGACCCACAGGTTGAGGATCAGTTCAATCGTGCAGAATGTTAATGTCTGACTGCAATATAAGTTATATTGTATGAAAATTGTTTTTAAAAAATAGAGCCTCTCACTCAAGTCTTACATAGCAGACACTTCCTTCAGAGTAATTTGTAAATCAAGTGGCATGCTTAGGAAGGACCTTTTTTTGGGGGGGGGGAGAGTGTCAATTTTCAATTACCGGACCATGACTATTATGAGGACTAACACAAGAAAAGTTTGTGGGTTTATGTTGTTGTTGTTGTTGTTTTGTTTTTTGAGACAGGGTTGCTTTGGAGCCGGTCCTGGAATTATCTCTTGTAGACCAGACTGGCCTCCCGAGTGATGGGCTTAAAGGGGTGTGCCACTATAAAAGTTCATTTTTGGGTCACCAAATAGAGTTTAAAGAATATAAAGTATAGACTATTGCGGAATATTAGTTAAAGATATATTACATTCTTATATGCTGTGGACTGTTTAATGATGCAAAGATGTGTTGGATTCTTTTATGCTGCATTTGTTTAACTCTGTGAAACTGCCTAAAACACTTGATTGGTTTAATAAAGAGGTGAACGGTTAATAACTAATCACGAGAGAGAAATTGGTGGGGCTGGCAGGAGAAGAAAATAAATGAGAGAGAAAAGAAGAAAGACAAGGAGAAAGGACACAAGGTGCCAGCCACACAACTCAGCCAGCAATGGAGTAGGAAGTAAAGAAAAGAATAGAGAATAGAAAAGGTAAAAGTCCATAGGCAAAAGGTAAATAGGATAGTTCAAGAAAAACTGGGAAGGAAGAAGCCAAGCTAATGCTGTGCATCCAGAAGAAAGAATAAATCTCCATGTATTTATTTGGGAGCCAGGTGATGATCCTACAAAGAACAAAGAATAAAAAAGTCATGCTATAAAATAAAAAATAAAATAATAAAAATGCTACCTGACAACCATAGCAATAAATACAAAATCAATAGCAGGAAGTTTTGTTTGAAACCTCCACCATTTTAGTGTTGAAGAACATGCTTTCATATAGCTACGTGTTAAATAGGGAATTCATAGGAAAACTAGGATATATTTTAAAATGAGAAAAAAATTAACGCCAAGTTTTAAAAACACAATGAATGTTAAAATAACCAAGCTAGTTAAGGATAAAACAATATTTTATTTATTAAAAGGGGAAAATTCATGAAACAGGAAATGAAAAAATCCAAGCACAGCAATGTCCTGTGAAAAAAAGTCACAGAGAGAGAGAGTGCACCTGGAGGTGCTCATGTTTTGCTCTGGGTCCCATGGAAGCCACGCCCTAATAAGAGCCAACTCTTAAAGATGATTGGCTGACCAGGTTCTCCATCATCTCCCCCTTTTGTCTAAACAAGAGTGATCCAAACCCAATTCAAAACTACATACAATAGGAATAGATATCAAGTATAAAATAAGAAACAACATAAGCAATATTAAGCAAAGTATACATGACAAATGTTTCAATAAAATTCTATTTCAATGAGTCTAAATCTTGCATCGGAAATAAGCTTGGCTAAATCATAAGAGGAAAGTAACTATGACTATCTAATCTTCAACTCCATCAAAGGCCTAAGAAGGGAAAACTATTATTGGAGTGGATAGGAAGTGCAATCAAGCAGCTTCCAAAGTGATCAGAATGACAGAAACAATTAGCTACCTAAGCAATCACCCAAAGTCTCATTTGCAACATCAAAGCAACCAACTTTGGCTAAGGCCTAGCATAACTGACAGACCATTTTCAGAGGCAGAAAAAATTTCAGAACTGTCTTAACCTGTCTTGGCAAGGTTTGACAGTCTTTTTCCTTGTGTCCTGCTTATCCATTCCTGGATGCCATGTACTTTGTCAGTGGTTGAGGCATGGGCAGTTCCTTGCCCAAAGGCCAAATGTGCCAAGAAGAAAACAAACTCCGAGTGGAGTGTCTTTGGTACTCAACATTCTCTCAGGAATAGATTGGTGCTGTCAGGAGCAATCATGTCTCATGTCAACAGAACCCTAAGTCATTTAAATGCCATATTCTATAGATCCTTGAAGTGGTCGAAGATTACCTATCTAAGCAGAATACAATCTTTATGTATCTAAAGAACCTAATCAATCTGACTGTATGTATAACAAACATGAACAACTTAATTAATACCTGTATAACTTAAAGACTAAGGCTTCATGTCAGGATATTAAATAATCTGTAAACACTTGTGCAACAAATGAGGATAATGACCTTAAAATGTAAACAATGTGTATCTTGTTCAAAGGTAAGAATAATATATAATACAATATGAAAATAAAGGTTGTATCAATATACAAAATGTCCTAAACAGAGGTAGAAACATGCATGTATATAATCTGACATAATAACTTCTCATAGGTGCACAAATATTGTAAGCAGAAATAACAAATATAATCTGTATCAATATATAAACACTATACCAATGTAAGTTATCCATAAATAATAACTCACAAATATTCACTCTATTACCCACTATTATTATCCTTTTTTTAAACAAATATAGTTTTCACCCCAATCCTCTACCTAATTCAAGTAATAATCAATAACCCCTAAACAGTGCTCCCAACACTGAGGACAAACTTCTTTGGGAGAGGGGGCATTGTTCTCTATAATTGCTTCCTGCTGTCATGGGTGTGATGTTCTCTTTATGGGATCCTGTAAAAGTAAAGTGATGGTTAAGTTTCAAGATTACTGCCTAGTATAGTTGCAAACGATTTCTGAGCAGTGGATAGGGTTTTTCCAAAAGTTCTTATTTGGAGGTCTGGCCAAAATGTTATGAGAAGGTGCACCATTTCAGCAGCTGGCACCCCAAAATCAGTCTTAGAGTAGTGCTATCAACATCACGATGTCATATCAATCAGGTGGAATTGTTGATGTGGGGCCCCATCTTCTTCCTGGAAACTTCAAAGGTTACTGCAGGAAAAGGATCTGTAGGAAAGTCTATTGTTCATCGTGGAAAACTTAAACATTATTCATAGAGACATACTTCAATAAAGAATATGATATAGACAAAATAGACATAAAGAGAGTGAAATTTTTCTAAAGTCTTCCTTCTGTCCCATACCAGATGGCTCCTGATATGAGACAGAAACTCTGAATGTTTCTTTTAACAACATTCTTGGATTTAGAGAGGTACAGAGACATTGTCCAACTTTAAAACCAGCCCCCCCCCCCCCTCTCTCTCTCTCTCTCTCTCTCTCTCTCTCTCTCTCTCTATATATATATATATATATATATATATATATATATAATGCTTAAATGTATGTGTATCCATTACCTGACCTCATGATGATCTTTAGTGGATAGCTATTTTTCCTTCTGTCAGCATCCAAACATCCAGGGTCTCTTGAATGTTTTAAAATGTGTATTTTCCTGTGAAGATAAGAGCAGAACCCTGCCACACCCCTATATTCTATCCTTACCACCCGTGTGGTTGTCACCATTGTGAATGAGCTGCCATTTCTCTTTTTCAAGAGGTTTCTCCTTTTCAAAGTAAATCTTTATTAATTTTGATGGTATCCATAGTTTTTCTTCTCCTGTGGAAACAAGAGTGAAACCCCTTCCCTAACATAACACATCTCCTGGTTTCCATTGTGAGGTCAACACATCCTTGAAATACACTGATTAATTCAATTCTGAAGTTTTTTCCATTATCCAATGCCTCTCTGCTGCTTTTGTCCCTTTCTTGTTAGCATTAAGAAAATTGAAGGTTAATAAAGCATTATGTAATCTATTTCGGGGGGGTATTTTCCATCCCTTTCTGTTTGAGCAATATATCCTTTGTAGTTCAATTTCACCTTTCTATAATTGCCTGACCTGTAGGATTATTTGATATACCTGTAATATACTTTGGTGTGGTAGGTCTTTCTGTCTATGTGTTGCTTTTATGGTTAATGAATAAAGAAACTGGCTTGGCCTGTATCATGGGAGGAGAAAAGTGGAGTTATGGAGAACCCAAGGGGCCACTGGAGACAGATGCTGGGAACTTTACTCGGTAAGCCACAGCCACATGGCAATATACAGATTAATAGAAATGGATTAAATTAATATAAGAGTTAGCCAATAAGAAGCTAGAACTAATGGGCTAATCAGTGATTTAACTAATACAGTTTTTGTGTGATTATGTTGGGTCTAAACTAGTGGGTGGCCGGGAACCAACAAGTGGCCATCCTCCACAGATTGGCGCCCAACAGAAACTGTGGCAAGTGGGTAAAACATCTTACAATAAGCAACCACACAGACACGTTGGTGGAAAGTCAGAGAGCATTTTCTAAATCTGAAAGTCATGTTTATGCAGTCATTATCAATGTGAAAAAGGTAAAGTTAAAGAAAACATAGACTACCACCCAGAATTAGTTTCAAAATGTCTTGGTGAGACCCGGGAAATATGAACACTATGCTGTAAGGAAAGATGGAAAAGTCATTTTCTCAACTCATCAAACTGAAATTTATGAGAGAAGCAACTGTGCTATATTGTACCACTTGATATAATTATGTATATTACTATACTACTATACACTTTATAAATAAAATATATTAACATACAATATGTTGCTATATATTGTTAAATATGAAAATATATTAACTGTATCATATACCATTTGAGAGATTAAAGAGAAGTATGAATCCAATGCTGGAGGTAATGATGGAAAAATCATTTTCTCACCTCATAAAACTGAGATTTCTAATAGAGAACCAACTATAAAATATTACACCACACAGATGAAGGTGAACACGAAAAAGACACGTGTGCACACATACCTAAAGACTATACTGCAAGCAGAATTCCCCAGTGGTGAACAGATGCAGTAGTGGTATCCATGCAGAAAAGAAGAACTCAGTTCTGGGAGCCTGAGCCATGACTGAAGGGCATTGATTGACATGTGGGTCTTCTGGAAAGGATGTGCTCATTCTCTTCCCACTTTCCTCCTCGTTACTCAGTGGACGTCTCAACAGAGGCCCAGGCCCAGGAGCATTGCTAGACAGCGTAACCCACAGAAACAGGTGATGTGTTCTGAAAAATTTCAAAGGTCCTGGAGAGGGAGCAGATTACAGACAATGATTGGCAGGCAATCTTCTTGTGACTCAAAAAAGGAAAGGTGAAGTCATCTCTTCATGTTCAGTGCATTCCTGTCTGTTTGCCTGTCTGTGCATCTGCCAAGTGGAGACCTGAAAATGCAGGTCCATTTCCACCTTCTCTGATGGTCAGAGAGTTTGGAGAATAACAGGCTAAATTTTACCTTCTAACTCAGAAGGTGGTTGTCTGGCTCTTTTGATGTTAAGATAGCTTGTTGTCGTCCTGATGGGTTGTCAGGATGTACTTCTGCTCCTTCTATCTGTAACATGGAGGGGGGCCTGCTTGTTGTTGGGGTTTTTGTCCCACCCGGTACCCTGCAACTGTTTAGCCCCAAAGAAAATCATACATAGGTCTCCATAAATGATAAGCTGATTGGCCCATTAGCTCTAGCCTCTCACTGGCTAACTCTCACACCTTGATTAACCAATTTTTCTGATCTATGTTAGCCATGTGGCTCAATAACTTTTTCAGTGGGGCAGATCACATCCTGCTGTTTCGGTGGTCTAGGCAGGAGTGGGAGGAATCAACTTCTTCCTTCCCAGAATTTTTCTGTTCTCATTACATCATTTCTACTTCCTGTCTTGTTTTCCCGCCTATACTTCCTGCCTGACCAATCAGCGTTTCATTTAAAACATGATTGACAGATTACAGACAATTCTCCCACACCATCTATTGTTACCACGAGGTCACCTAAGGAAGGGGGATCTTCAGCTCACATGACCTAGAGCAGGTGACTTGGGACACCTCACTAGCTAGACAACAGAATACTAATGGTTGTATTTCTCAGTTGACTGTGTGAGTTAACCTTTGTATCATGTTAATAAAGTCTTTTGTTACCTTTCCCCCCAGTTTATGTTGGGTATAAAAGCTGTGGAAAAATAAATGCAAGCAAATTTCAGGATTTCAGTCACTGGAATGCCCTCCCGATACTTTCTATGTTTTTTTGTCTTATTATTTTTATGGACTTCATATTCCTTACTTATATTTCTTCAATTTTCATGCCTCTACCATGGTAAAACTATTTTTTGTGGAGGCCAGTCCTCGACACTGTTGAAGGTAATTTATTTTTGGCATAGAGTAGACAGGTCCACATGTTGGCCAGCCCTGATGATGCAGCACCCTGCACCACCAGCCCTGGAAGAGCTAGTCCCAATGACCAGGCACTGAAGAACTTGCCTGCCCCCCCCCCCCATGCAGAGGAGGCCCCTGCACATGGGAAAGTTTGCTTTACCCCTCACCAGGGGCATGGGAATGCTGGCTCCACCTCTTGACTGAGGGTCATGGTCTCAGTGGCCCAGATGGACCAACTCAGCTACCACCCAGGCACACACATTGGACTCTGAGTTGGCCCACCTCAACACCTACCCCATCTATGACCTGCCGGAGTGCTTGAAGGGAGTGGTTCTGCTGAACCACAGCCACAGGCTCTCCATGACTCAGGGCAACAGCAGGACATACGACAGGAATTTGGGTGAGGGTCCAGTATTAATGGTGTACCAGAAGCCAGAAACCTTGAACCTGACCAACAACTCATTTTAGAGTGAACATTTTCAAATAAAAGCTGTTTCAACAAAGGAGTTTGCTCCCAATACCACTAAGACAGATGAAAAGGAGATGGAGAGGTAGGAAAGTCAGGAGGGAAGTGGGTTTTTTTTGTTACCTTATTCTTTTGTTTGTGTTTTTGCTTGTTTGTTTTTACTTAGTATTTATTTTTTAATTTTCATTTCTTTTCAGTTGTCTTTGCGGGGGGGGGTGCACTATAAGGGTTAAAGGCTGATATGGATGGAATGAGAAATGAGCAAGATTGGGTGCATGATTTGAAATTCCCAAGAAAATTCCCAGTAAATTATGCTGATAAAATGTAAGTTAAAATAAAAAAGCTCAACACGCCTTCTGGTAAAATCTGCCAAAAAGCTAAGTATGGGAAGAATGTCTTTATACACACATACACACAAACACACACACACATACACACATATGAAACAAGACTCACACTACAAAAAGATTTCCTGGACAGCCAAGGCTATTATCCACAGAAACCCTAACTTACAAAATGAAAAAAATAATAAAAATCAGTTGTATTTACCTACACAAGCAACATATCATCTGAAAATTAAATTAAGAGAACTATTTCATTGTCAGTAACACCAAAAAAATTTAAATACTTACAAATAAATTCAACTAAAAAGCAAAAAGATTTGAGTATGGAAAAGAAAGCAAAGAAGACTCAACCAATTGGGGACACACCCAACCTTCACTGACTGGAGGAAATATTGCTACAGTATTCATACTAATCGAAGTGAACTAAAGACGCTCTGTGATCTCTTTGAAATCCTGAGTATTCTCCATAGGAGTATGGTAGGGGAGTTCATACAGAAATAAAGAAGCCTCCAAATGGTCAATTTATTTCTTAATTTTCAGTTTTCTTTATTTTCTTGTGCGTATATGAGTGTTTTGCTCACCTGTGTGTATGTGCACCATCGTGTAGATGGTTGATGGCCGCCACGTGGTTGCTGGGAATTGAACTTAGGCGCCTGCTCTGCAAGAACAAATGTTCTTAACTACTGAGCCATCTCTCCAGCTGCATCCAAAGTATTTTGAGAACGAAACATTAGCATTTGCCACATTTTTTTATTTCAAACTATACCCAAAGCTATAGTAATCAAAACAGCACGAGAAACACTAACCAACAGTGGAAAGGAACAGGGAACCCACAAATAAGCCTGCACACAGATCTTTAACAAAGATGCTAGGATTAAATGGGGGGTGGGGTGGGGAGAGAAGGAAAATCTCTTCAGTAAACAATGCAGGGGAAACTGGGAAGCAGCATGGGAAAGGCTAAACCTGAACCTCCCAGCACACATCATACAAAAGCATCCTTAAAATGGACTGAGTCTGAGTCTAGAGTCTGACCCTGTGAAACTGTTGTAAAAACTCTAAGGAAACATTTTGATACTTATCTTCGTAGTGACATTTGACACTGTGGTCGTTTTAATGTAATTGGCTCCCCAATTCCACATTTCATTATCACAGAATCTCAAAGGGAGTGGCACTATTAGGAGACGTGGCCTTGATGGAGGAAGTGTGTCACTGTGAAGGCAAGCTTTGAGGTTTCATACACTCAGGATTTCTCCCAGTGTGTCAGTGGATTGCCTGTTGCCTGCAAGATGTAGCCAGCACCCTTCCCAGCACGCATGCCGCCATCTTCCAGACATGATAGACTGAACCTCTCAACTTTAAGTTAAAGTTTTCCTTTATGAGTTGCCTTGGTCATGGTGTTTCTTCACAGCAATAGTAAATCCTAAGACAGAAACTTAAGACAAGCGACTGGTGTGGGAGTCCGTGAGCATCTACTCTGAAGTAGAGAGTGCGAAAGAGGAACAAAGAGAGAAAAAAGAGAAAGGAAAAAATGGGGGGGGGGGAAGGCTGAGAATAGACTTGTATTTTTTTTATCCTTTTGCGAGCCAGAAAGGATGTGGAAGGTCCTGAGGAAGGGAGCCTGCCTAGGCCGGCGAGCCTGCAGCTTGGCGCTTTCGGGCCCGCGGCCCCGCCCCCACCACTTGTCACTAAGGTCACTAAGGTCGCCGGGTGCGTCGGTGGGGGGGAGCGCGTCGCCTGGAGCGGGGGAGGGGGACGAACCGCAGTGGAGCCGCAGCCTCCCCGAGGGGTGCCAAGCGCCACCGACCCAAGGCTGGGGTGGCGCAGGCTTCCGGAGGGGACCGGGAAGGGAAGGGGGAACGATCCCGGTGACGACTTGGTGCAGGGGTGGAGGGAGGACGCGAGCCGTGGCGCTCCGCCCCTGCGGGCCCATCCGCCACGTGGCCTTTGCGCCGAGCGCACACGGGGATTGGCGAGCGAGCGAGCGCGGGAAGTTGAACTGCAGGAGAACGAGGCAGTGGGGAAAGAGCCAGGGCCACTTTGCGGAGAACCGACCGGTTTAATGCCACAGAGGCGCGACTGGTTGGCGCGCGCGTGGGCGCGTGTGTGTCGGTGTGCGTGTTTCGGTGTCCGTGTGTGTCGGTTTGTGTGTGTGGGGGGTGTCGGTGTGTGTGTGTGTCGGTGTGTGTGTGTGGGGTGTCGGTGTGGGTGTGTCGGTGTGGGTGTGTCTGTGTGCGAGTGTGTGTGAGGCCTCCGCAACTCGCACCTCGCACACGAACCCTCACACGCGTGCACACTCTAGCCGAGTCGGCTTGTGCTCTCTCCGCTGGCCACCTCCCGCACTTGCGGCCACCGACTGTGGGAGAATTTCTAGAGATCTCCAATTTCCGCCTTTTTGGGAAACTGGCTCGGAGGAAATAAAGAAGAAGAACGGAAAAGAAAGCCTCCAAAAATAAAATAAAATAAAATAAAAAAAAAGAAGGAAAGCCTCTGGTGGATCTTTTTTTTTCCTGCCCGACGCAGAAAAATGCTTTTTAAGGCGGCGCGGACCCGCTATTGGCATCCCCGCGGGGAGGAGGGCGCGGCCCGGGCGGGGCATCTGCGTCGTCACCGCCGCGTTCTTCTCTGGGTGGCGCGGGCCAGTGAGAGGCGAGCGGCGGCGGCGGCGGGGGTGTGAGGGGTGGTAGGGGGGGGGCGGGAGGGGGCGGTGCCTGCAACTTGTTTACGGTCGCCCGCGGTGGCCAATGCGGGCGAGTCGAGTCCGCCTCGCGCCGCGTGCCTGCGCCCGCCCGCCCGCCCTTCTGAGCTCAGAGGCCGCTGCCTGGTGCCGGCTCGCGTCCTGGGCAGGACGGGGCGGCGGCGGTGACGGCGGCTGGGGAAGGAGAGGCCGGAGAGGGAGCCCAGGCACCTCCGCGCTCTGTCAGCCTCCTACTGGAGGAGGAGGTAAACTTGAGAGAGGCAGCCGAGCCACGCACTGGCGGAGGGAAAACTTTAAACGCATCCTGGGGTGGAAAAACAAAACAGAACAAAAACCCTCAAAAACAAGAAACCGAAAAAGATAAAACAAACAAACAACAA